TGTTGTTGTTGTGGTGGTAGTGGTTGATTCTGTATTTCCTTCAGCACCTTCTTGGGTACTTGGTGACTCACCCTCTGTAGGTTTAGTGTCATTCGCAGCAGTTGTAGCATCACTCCCAGCAGCATTTTCACCGACACTCTCGGTTTCTGAAGTGGTGGGTGAAGAAGAGGGTTGGGCAGGATCACCTCCCTGGAGAGCTCCACTCTCCTCTGTTGTACTGCCGCCGATGTTTCCAGTATGAGTGTCAGTTGGAGATGGATCCCTTCTCTCCTCATTAGTCGTTGACTGAGATGGAGGAGATACAGTAGGAGGTGCAGAAGAAGAGCCGGGTTCACTACCAATATGAGTACCAGAACCCTGCCTACTGCCATCTGTACCTCTTTCACCTGTAGGACCACCAGATACTGTATCTGGTCCGACGTCCTCAGTAGAACCCTTTTCATTAAGACCAGGCGCTTTCGGTGTAGTTGGATCAGCTGGTTCCTTTGGTGAAGTTGGAGCTGGTTCCTTTGGTGAAGTTGGAGCTGGTTCCTTCGGACAATGAGACTCAGTAGTAGGACTGCAATTCTCTTGAGTGTCACTACCCTCAGTTACGCATTTGTTTTCCTCTGTAGATTTCGTACAATCATGATTACGAGAATCTTCAGATCCCCTGGTGTTCTTATTACACTGTGAACCAGTCGTCTCTGAAGGACAAGGTTCATCACCAACAGCACCAACACCAGCAGAACGCGGTTCAAGAGCACCAGCTTCTTGAAGAGTCTGCCCTGCAGCCTCTACACCAGCAAAAGCACCCACGCACGCAACGCTCAGCACCAAGAGAAGAAAAAACAGCACACGTTTCATCGTCAACAGAGCAAGATCAATTTTTCTTGTTTTAGGTCACTTAACTAAAGAAGAACAGAAAAGGAAAAGAAAAACAAGCACACAATACTAAAGAAACTGAGAGGCAGAAACCATGAAGAGCATAACATAAGTAGCAATCACACAAAACAACGCCACCAGCTTAAACAAAAAGAGTTCAATAAACACTCAACACAAACATAGTGATGAAAACAAACGCAAGAAAAAAATGAAATTAAGATCAAGACTAACGGCCCCACCAAACACACAAATAACACTGATCATTCGGTATGATTGAGTTAATACGCAATTATGAATAAAAAGGTGTATCAGTTATTCTTGTTTCTCTCTGCAGAAAACAAACAACCAAAAGGGTTCAGGGCATAGAACACAATGCCCCCAGCAAAAGCACAAGCAAAGAAAAACACAGATATTAACCATTAGCCCAAATTATCCAGTAGACACAGAAATATACACCAACTATGGGTATACGTCTATATGTGTATATATACGCAATCATAAATATAAATTCATCTGTTATTATTAATATTTCCTTTTCCCACTACAAAAAACAGTTCATCATTATCACAGTGCAGGCCCAGGCACACAAACAGAGAGAGTCTCCAAGAACACACACACACACAATGGAGTAGCAATAATAATAATTATAGGATAAACATAGAGAGCAAAAACACATTAAGAAACATAAAAAGAAGAAGTAAATCCCAACAGGTGGAAGATTACTTAGACTGTAGGGATGTATGCAAAATAAGAAGAGAAAACAAAGGATGATCTGAGTCATCACCACTACACCACACCATTACAATCATCACACAAGAATACAGGCCAGTGTAACCACAATCAGTAGTGGTACACGCACCCACACAGAACTGATGATACTGCTGCTGCTGTCTGCATCACCCTTCTTGTTGTTTGTGAGTTCAGGAGGAAGTGTTGATGTTGTCGTGGTGGTGTTGGTAGTTGATTCCTCATTAGCTGGTTTATTTGTTGACCCATTCCCTTCAGGTGTAGTGCCGCTCTCAGCATTTTTATTACCAGATTCATTATTATCCTTAGTTTCCTGAGGTGAAGGTGTAACATAGGCTTCAGTAGATGTTGAAGAAGATTGTGTTGGTGCAGCATCATTCGTAGTTGTACTTCCACTTGATACATTCTGATTGTCTGCATTATTCTTATTTTCGTTGGCATCTTGTGTTCCTGCAGACGATGGTTCCTGCACCTGAGTACGAGATATCTGAGGACCTTTAGGGATTCCATTACCACCACCGGTAGATTGCAGGTTGTGCTCTTCCTCTGAATTCTCGTGTGATTTCTCTTCTGCTTTTCCATTGTGTAGAGAAGGTTGTACTTCATTTGTTGGTGATAAATCGTTCGCTCCACCCTGATGTGTTAGGTCTTGAGTCTGCTCTCTATCGTGATTGGGACCCTGCCCTGTTAAACTGTCAGCAGAATTGGGTCTTGTAGTTGAAGAAGCAGCAAGTTGTTGTTGTTCTTTTCCTATTTGATCAGCAACATGTAAATTGTCCTGAGTATTGTCTTGACGATTCACACCCCTATCTTCACCTAATGCTTCAGTGACAGGAATTCTATCCTCACCACCCTCATTTCTCTCCTTCTGAAGCGAAGGAATAAGAGTACTAGGCTCAGAGGAAAGAAGAGGACCAGAAGGATGACCACCACCAGAACAACCAGGCTCAGAAGGTTCAAACAGTTCAGTACCATTAGGGCAAATCTTTGTCTCACTCTCCGTATCAGGGACTTGGTCGGAAAGATCGGCGGCAGGCACTTCTTCAGCGAGGACGTGCACACACGCACATGAGAGCAGGAGAGC